GGCTGCTTGCCCAAGAGTGACGTCATTCGATGACGTGGTCGTGCCTAGCCAACGCGTCTTTTTCGCTAGCAGCTGCTAGCGGCTGCTAGCGGCTGGAGAAAAAGACGCGCCCCCTGGAGAGCCAGGAAGCCCGCCACGTGCTCGCGTGAAGATTCCATCCCGTTCTGATGGGTATGGAGGTTTTCCATCGGGAGAGGCGGATTGTTGGCGCGAGGTGATGCGCTAGGCCGCGTGGAGGTGTGCGTTCCCCCGCATCCACATGGGACTTACGTGAAATGGAAATGTTCGTATGCTAAAGAGAAACGCTTGAATTCGCGAAGTAATTGTGAGGCCTAGTCTTCCGCTTTAGGAAGCAGTTTTACGCTTAGGACCAAACTTCAATCGGGACAGGCCTAGGCGCTTCCCGTAACTTCTTGGGATGCTAAATGATTGGGTCAGTCGTTTCTTCGGCCTGGACGAACGGATCACTTTTCCCATTCATCGTCTTTTGATCTAACTGTTAAGAGATTTCGTCGCCAAGCAATCGCCTTCACTGGGATCTCGTGAGACAACAGTTTCTCAATGTTCTCCATGCAGATTTTGCCTCAAAGTGAGTGAGACATGGTATCAGTGGCAGAAAGGCAATTCACTTGGATGAGGTGCTGAGCCTAATCTTTTGCCATTTCAAGAATCAGTTAGGCTTGGAGCATCTCCATTTCCCCATGGATTTCAGTGGAGTTTCCATCCTTGATCTGCAAGTTTGGTTCGTGCATTCAAAATTTCAGCTCCTCATGGATTAGCATCGAGGGTATAAACATTAAGGCTTAATTTCAGTGCCTTTCGCCTCTTGACTGTTAATAGTTTCTGTGATTATGCCTCAAAGTGTTTAATGAAGTTTGTCAACCAATTTTTTATGAAAAGGGAACTCATTTCTGAATAGATATATGGAATGCAGTACATGATGTACCACAAAAAGGATTGCACATTCAGGCTCCTGGAGATTTCATTGATGCATATGTTTTGATGCACTTTGTTCAATTGCTTTCATAAAGAATGAACTCTACAAAGAGTCCTTGCCAAAATGCTGCTGACAGCTATCACATTAGCTCTGAGAAACAGGATTGCAAATTCCTGCCTCTTTCGAGATGTGGGTCCCACATGCTATTGGGATTGTTACATTGGCATTGTCATCTCACTGCATGCCATCAGGGCTGGTATGTGTTAGGGACCACTCCACCACGGTTTCCCTCCACAATCCCACTCCACCACGGTTTCCCTCCACGGTCCCACTCCACCACGGTTTCCCTCCACGGTCCCACTCCACGGTCCCATTGCTTGACCATGCTGCACCTGCACTCTGCTGGCGATTGTGCAAAATTTGGAGTCCTGCATGGACTGAAGACGGACCCAATTCTCACAACCCTGCCTAACATGTGGGCTGTTTGAGGCTGGATTTCTGGCATTCCCTCCTTATATTGAGCTGCTTAAGGCTGAATTCTTTGAAGTTATTTCTTTTTATCTTGCTTCTTGACAGGAATTAGAGACAGTATGTTTCTGGACTGGAATTTCTTGTTTAGATGTGATGTCAAGAATATTTATAATATATGAGACCGAGGGATCTGTTTTTTTGCATTGCAGTCTCAAATGATGGTGAAAGGTTCAGGAAAAACACCAAAAGAAGTTTTTTCTTTTTGGGGCCAGTCAAGTTGGGGCACTGATCGAGTCACACATCTGCCACGGGCCAAGATTGGCATCAGGTCCATTGGGTTGTGTTCCAAAAATTGGCTGGCATGCTCCCATCCTTGAATTATTTCAACTGCTGTTCTTTTGCACCTCCCTCTTATCTACAGAGTGCGCACAAAGTCCGTATACCCCTATATGTATGCGGCCACCAAACACTCCTCGATTGTGTAATCACTTTTGTCAACCATCGCTTCGACTTTCATCTACCGCCATACATTGCAATTGTTGGCACATACAAAAGCAGACTTTGTGACAGCAGGTGAACACATGCCAAGGTCATGCAAAGATCACCAGCACGAATGTGGCATGATTACTTGCATCAGCTTGACATACATATAGGGGGTATAGGAGGTATATGGACTTTGTGCGCACTCTGTACAAGTGCTGGGATCCATGCATAATCCAACAGTTAACATGTGCAAATTCAATTTTAAAGGTAGATATATAAGAGAGCTCACCTTCATATGACTTTAATGCATAAGACTGGCCCCTTCACTGGTCCCCAGGCAGGTTTAGAGACTCCACACACTGATATTAACTTGTACTGCCATTGGGGATATGCCAGAAACTAGTTTTATCCATTTATATTTTGATATGGATATTGTGGACATTGTACTTTCCTGGAGCATGGAAGTCACAGTCTTTACTACCAGCTCATTCACCAGTAAACCTAGTCAGTGCCATTGCTAAGCTTTATGTTGCACTTGTAGTTTCCTTCATTGCAAGCATTTTCATTTCATGATATTTTTTAAAGCAACTGAGAATTTCTTTTACAGATGGCCTTGATATTCCTGGATGACACATTGATGATAAGTTGAACCACCTCTGCTTCTTCCTTTGCGGCCTGACTGTTATTGAAAGCATGAGCAGCCGTTGTGCTATTTCTGCCATGAGAGAGACACAAATCTGCAAAAAAGAGTGAGATGCTGGATTATTGTGTGAAACTAGGCCTTCTTGTGTGACCTTCTCAACCTGTTTTGTTCTTGCCCTGAATAGACCTTTATTAGCTGGTATGCTTGCCTCCCTTTGTCATATTGTACTTACTATTGAATGAGACACTCTCCTTGAAGGATCAATAAGCATTCTTTTAATTAAATTGCTCCTAAGTATTGCATATTGCAATGTGTAAGAATAAGTAGCTCTATGCCAGGTTTGTTCTCAAATAACCTCAGACAGATGATGTTTCCTTCAAGCTGCTTGAGGAGCTAGAAGGTGCTGTGTATTCACTACATTGTGCATCTCTTGCAGAACGCAGGGGCAATCCGGCTCTCTGGAGGTTGTTGGTGCATTGAAGCCGACCGTGCAATATCCAAGGCTCTGTGAAGGCCATGGCTGCATCAACTTGCCTGCCAACAAGGAAGGTGAAGGATGTCATCCCTCTGATCTCTCATGGTAAATTAAGGATCCCTTGTGGTAATTTGAGAGATGATGGCTTTGATGGAAGGCATTTTAAACTGTGTCTTCTATCTTGCAAAGCATACTAGCATAAATAATGGTTAGATCCCATCCAAAAACCAATTGATGATGATTTTTGAGATGTGCATAATCTCAAGTCCTGTTCTTATTGAATATCTCATTCATGGTACTCTGTGTAATTCAAACTGTCCTAGACCCTTTAAAGGAGCATAAAGAAGTTTGCTTAGAATGGGAAATCAGGATGCCTGTGGGATATTTTGGCAAACTCTTTTTTTGATGAATGTTCATGGTCCTAACATTCCTTATGGTTACTCTGGGTTGAAAAGACTCATGAATGTGCTGGCTAACTGGCACAACTTTGAGAAATGCTTGCATTCTTAATAAGGAGCAGGGGAGTCATTATTTGATTATATGTGAGTTATACACCTCTACAATTGGATAGTGTAAGAGAAAGTGAATGAATGGTAAAATATATGCCTTTATGCAGAGGAGATTCAAAAATGCTTTGGCTGAGCCAGGGGAAAACACAAATGTGTTTTTGTATTGCCCTTATGAACTATTCCCAGACAGAATACTTAATAGTTGCTGACCCATGGAGAAGTTTGGTCTGCAGCATTGCTCTATTGCCAAAACTTTGAATGTCAATCTTCTCACTCTTAACAGGTCTAAAATGACCTCTCTTGTCCCTAAATTGTTATGCATCATGCTATGGCCTCACCCTCCTGCTATGCAATACTTTAGAAAAGCAAGCTAGTGTAACACCTCTAGCAGACGACGTCCTGTCGGGGTTTTCATATGAGCTGATGCCGCAAGGGTCAGAGGGTGCATTCCAGTGTTGTAGGCTGAATGTCACTCCTTTTGAATAGGTTTGCANGGAAGTCACAGTCTTTACTACCAGCTCATTCACCAGTAAACCTAGTCAGTGCCATTGCTAAGCTTTATGTTGCACTTGTAGTTTCCTTCATTGCAAGCATTTTCATTTCATGATATTTTTTTAAGCAACTGAGAATTTCTTTTACAGATGGCCTTGATATTCCTGGATGACACATTGATGATAAGTTGAACCACCTCTGCTTCTTCCTTTGCGGCCTGACTGTTATTGAAAGCATGAGCAGCCATTGTGCTATTTCTGCCATGAGAGAGACACAAATCTGCAAAAAAGAGTGAGATGCTGGATTATTGTGTAAAACTTGGCCTTCTTGTGTGACCTTCTCAACCTGTTTTGTTCTTGCCCTGAATAGACCTTTATTAGCTGGTATGCTTGCCTCCCTTTGTCATATTGTACTTACTATTGAATGAGACACTCTCCTTGAAGGATCAATAAGCATTCTTTTAATTAAATTGCTCCTAAGTATTGCACATTGCAATGTTTAAGAATAAGTAGCTCTATGCCAGGTTTGTTCTCAAATAACCTCAGACAGATGATGTTTCCTTCAAGATGCTTGAGGAGCTAGAAGGTGCTGTGTATTCACTACATTGTGCATCTCTTGCAGAACGCAGGGGCAATCCGGCTCTCTGGAGGTTGTTGGTGCATTGAAGCCGACCGTGCAATATCCAAGGCTCTGTGAAGGCCATGGCTGCATCAACTTGCCTGCCAACAAGGAAGGAGAAGGATGTCATCCCTCTGATCTCTCATGGTAAATTAAGGATCCCTTGTGGTAATTTGAGAGATGATGGCTTTGATGGAAGGCATTTTAAACTGTGTCTTCTATCTTGCAAAGCATACTAGCATAAATAATGGTTAGATCCCATCCAAAAACCAATTGATGATGATTTTTGAGATGTGCATAATCTCAAGTCCTGTTCTTATTGATAATCGCATTCATGGTACTCTGTGTAATTCAAACTGTCCTAGACCCTTTAAAGGAGCATAAAGAAGTTTGCTTAGAATGGGAAATCAGGATGCCTGTGGGATAGGTTGGCAAACTCTTTTTTTGATGAATGTTCATGGTCCTAACATTCCTTATGGTTACTCTGGGTTGAAAAGACTCATGAGTGTGCTGGCTAACTGGCACAACTTTGAGAAATGCTTGCATTCTTAATAAGGAGCAGGGGAGTCATTATTTGATTATGTGTGAGTTATACACCTCTACAATTGGATAGTGTAAGAGAAAGTGAATGAATGGTAGAATATATGCCTTTATGCAGAGGAGATTCAAAAATACTTTGGCTGGGCCAGGGGAAAACACAAATGTGTTTTTGTATTGCCATTATGAACTATTCCCAGGCAGAATACTTAATAGTCACTGACCCATGGAGAAGTTTGGTCTGCAGCATTGCTCTATTGCCAAAACTTTGAATGTCAATCTTCTCACTCTTAACAGGTCTAAAATGACCTCTCTTGTCCCTAAATTGTTATGCATCATGCTATGGCCTCACCCTCCTGCTATGCAATACTTTAGAAAAGCAAGCTAGCCTTGACAGCTGCATTTAAATTTACTTGAAATGCTAATTCCATTCTTTCTTTTCTCTCATTGTCATCAGGCTTAGGCCTAAATCAAGACCCTGGGATAACAGAGAGCTGCAAGAATGGGTACAATGTTCGCTGAGGTTTTTTTTTTTTTGCAGAGGTTTTCTATTCCCAGCTTGGCATTTTGTTTCTCTTTTTAACATTTCTCCAATTCTTCGCTCTGGACTGTTGAATTCCATGCAACCGTCTTGTACTGATGGCATATGGGATTCTACTCAGTGAATCAGCTTCTGTCTAGCTTGGTTTTGGACATGGAACATTTTCTAATCTAGGCATAGAATAATGTCTATTCCATCATGGGTTAGGGTATTTTAAGAGAGTGCTGCTGGAAGACAGCAAGCAAAGGCCAAGGTACTCCTTTTCCAGATGGATCATTGATCTCCCTCGATGGGCATTTTGCCCGAAACCGCTCAAGAGTTCCATTCCCAGTCCCCATACTACCGGCCTCACTGGACGACCAACACATTGCTGAATGTGCAGCCGGTAAAACGAGAATTCGTGAAGGTTTCGGTGTCTAAACCAGTGGATCGAGCAGCATAACCAGCAGTTATACTCAGGGAAAAGGAATTCTCAGAATCCGAGGAGTAATCACAGGATGGAGCCCAAAGACTCTGCTCGTGACCCC